ATAAAGAAGATGTGGTATATTTATACAATGGAATACTATTCAGCCATAAAAACCGACAACATAACACTATTTGCAGCAACATGGATGCTCCTGGACAATGTCATTCTAAGTGAAGTAACCCAGAAAGAGAAAGAAAAATACCATATGAGATCACTCATATGTGGAATCTAACAAACAAAAACAAACAAAGCATAAATACAAAACAGAAATAGACTCATAGACATAGAATACAAACTGGTGGTTGCCAAGGGGGTGGAGGGTGGGAAGGGATAGACGGGATTTTAAAATTGTAGAATAGATAAACAAGATTATACTGTATAGGAAAGGGAAATATATACAAGATCTTATGGTAGCTCACAGAGAAAAAAATGTGACAATGAATATATATATATGTTCATGTATAACTGAAAAATTGTGCTCTACACTGGAATTTGACACAACATTGTAAAATGATTATAAATCAATAAAAAATGTTAAATAAAAATAAAAATAAAAGAGATAGTTTAAGCCAACCTGAGAATAGATAAACTTAGCGTTGTTTCACAGTAAAAAAAGGAAAAAAAAAGAACAAGGAAGGAGCCAAATTTACAGCAAATTTAGTGACAGTTTTAAGCTTAAGCTACTGTACTGAATTAGTAGCTTTCTCATTACTTAATAGGGAATATGTGTACAGGGAAAGGAAACAGCTTGTACTTCATTAGCACTGTGTTATAAAATGTGATGTATTAAATAAAATCTATATTTAAAATTGATGCAAAAAAAGTTATTAAAAAAGAAAAAAAAATCTGTTCGTTCCAAAGTTTCAAGAGGAAAAAATCTCTGGGTGGGATCAACAGAAGAGAGATAACAGAATAAACAGATAAAGAATCAGTGAACTTGACAACTGAACAATAGAAATTACCTAAAATTAACATTGACAGCCTCAGTGACCTGTGGTACTATAATGAAAAATCTAACATTCATGTCATCAAGTTCCAAAAAAGAGAAGAAATTGTGAGGCTGAAAACTATTCAAAGATATGATGGCTGAAAATTTCCCAAATTTACCAAAAGACAAAAAAACCTGAAGATTCAAGAAACTGTGTGGACTCCCAAGACAAGGCCAAAGAAATCCACATCAATATACATTATAATCAAACTTCCCAAAACTAAAGGCAAAGAAAAAGTCTCAGAAGCAGGAGTACAGAAACAACACCTTATCTATAAGGGAAAATCAATTCAAAAATAACAGCAGATTTCTCCTCAAAGACCATAGAGGCCAAAAAGAACTGCCACAACATTTTCAACTGCTGGGGGAAGAAAGAGCTCTTAACCTAGAATCATATTATCCACTGAAAATATCCTTCAAGAATGAAAATGGTATCAAGACATTCTCAGAGGAAAGAAAACTAAGAATTTGTCTCCAGCAGACCTATTTCTATAAGAATGAATAAAGGAAGTTCTTGAAATGGAGAGGAAATGATAAAAGGAAGGAATCTTAGAACATCGGTGAGGAATACAGAACAACAGAAAGAGTAAAACTGTAAATAAATACACTAGACTTTCCTTTTCCTCTTGAGTTTCCTTGAGTATCTTTGACAGTTGAAGCAAAAATTATGACATTGTCTAATGTGGTTCTCAAAGTATCTAGAAGAAATGTTTAAGATAATTACATTATAAATGAGGGAGGGTGGAAAAGACTTAAAGGCATGTAAAGTTTTTACATTTCACTTAAACTGGTAAAATGTCAACACCAGTAGACTGTGATATGAGTATAATGTAACACCTAGAGCAGTCGCTACAGTCACACAAAGGTACACTCTAAATCACTATAGATAAATCAAAATGGAATTCTAAAAAATGTACAAGTGACCCATAAGAAAGTAAGAAAAAGAAAACAGAAAAGCAAAGGACATAGGGGAAAGGGGGATAAAAAAAATTAAATGGCAGATCTGTCATAAGATACCAATAATTATATTAAATGTAAATGGTCTAAATACACTAATTAAAAGACAGATTGGCAGAATGGGTTAAAAAAATGAACCAAATATATGCTGCCTTTAAGAAATTCACTTTAAATATAATGATATAAGCAGGTTAATATTAAAACTGGGAAAATAAATGACATGCTAACAATAATCAAAAACAAGTAGTGGTGGCTATATTAATATCAGTCAAAGTAGATTTTAGAGCAAAGAAAATTATGAGGCACAGAAAGGAACATTATGTAATGATAAAAGGAGCAATCAACCAAGAAGACATAGACATACTAAACAGATACACACCCAAAAGTACAGATGCCAAATATGTAAAGCAAAAACCGATACAACAAAAAGGAGAAATAGACAGATCCATGTTTATAGTTGGGGACTTCAACACCCTTCTCCCAGTAATTGATAGAACAGCTAAACAGAAAATCAGCAAGGATGACAGACACACTCAGCAATGCCATCAACCAACAGGGTCTAATCAGTATTTATAGAGCACCTTCTCCAACAGCAGCAGAATACTTTTTCAAGTTTGCAAGAAAGACCATCTCAGACCACTGGCACAACATACCAAATTTTGTTGAACACAGCTAAAGCAGCCCTAAGAAAGAAATTTACCCCTCACACTAAACACAAAAATAAACTCAAAATGGTTGAAAGATTTAAACATAAGACAAGATACTATAAACCTCCTAGAAGAAAACATAGGCAAAACATTCTCCAACATAAATTGTAGGAATATTCTCCGAGGGTAGTCTACCGAGGCAATAGAAATAAAAGCAAAAATAAACAAACGGGACCTAATTAAACTTAATAAGCATTTGCACAACAAAGGAAACTATAAACAAAACAAAATAAAACAAAACAAGCTATGGTATGGAATGGGAAAAAATATTTGCAAATGATGCGAATGGCAAAGGCTTAATTTCCAGAACACACAAACAGCTCATAAAACTCAATAACAAAAAAATAAACAACCCAATCAATAAAAATGGGCAGAAGACCTGAACAAACATTTCTCTAATGAACATATACAAATGGCCAACAGACAAATGAAAAAATGTTCAATATCGCTGTTAGAGAAATGCAAATCAAAACTACAATGAGGTATCGCTCACACCAGTCAGAATAGCCATCATTAAAAATTCCGCAAAGGATAAATGCTGGAAAGGGTGTGGAGAAAAGGGAACCCTCCTACACTGTTGGTGGGAATGTAATTCAGTGCAGCCACTTTAGAAAACAGTATGGAGATTCCTCAAAAAACTAACAACAAACTTACCATATGATCCAGCAATCCCACTCCTGGGCATGTATCTGTAGGGACCTCTAATTCAAAAAGATATATGACATCACTTATATGTGGAATCACAATATGGTATCAATTATATGTGGAATCTAAAAAAAAAAAGAAGAAGTTATTTACAAAATAGAAACAGACTCACAGACATCGAAAACAAACTTGTGGTTACCAGCGAGGGAAGAGGGTGGGAAGGGATAAATCGGGAGTCCAAGATTTGCAGATACTAACTACTATATATAAAATAGATAAACAACAAATTCATACTGTACAGCACAGGAAACTATATTCAATATCTTATAGTAACTTAATGATGAAAAATAATATGAAAACAAATATATGTATGTTCACGTATGACTGAAGCATTATGCTGTACACCAGAAATTGACACAACATTGTAAACTGACTATACTTCAATAAAAACACATATATACAGAGAAAAAAAAGATACATGCACCCCAATGTTCATAGCAGCGCTATTTACAATAGCCAAGACATAGAAGCAACTTAAATGTCTATCAGTGGATGATTGGATATATTGTAATAGCCTATAATGAAAAAGAACACGAAAAGGAATGTATTTACATATGTGTGTGTATATATAACTGAATCACTATGCTGTACACCAGAAATTATTACAACATTGTAAGCTGACTATATTTCAATTTAAAAACAGAAAAGAGAAATTTATAGCACTAAATGCCTGCATTAGAAAAGAATAAAAGTCTCACATCAGTAATCTAAGTTCTCACTATAAGAAAAGAGAAAAAAACGACCAAATAAATCCACACCAAGCAGAAGGAAGGAAATAATAAAGAGCATAAACCAAGGATGTTGAAAAGATACACAATGAAGAAAAATCAATGAAACACGAAGCTTATTCTTTGAAAAGATCGATAAAATTGACAAACCTCTAGCAAGACTGGCAAAGAGAAAAAGAAGACACAAATTACCAACATCAGGAAACAGAGGCTGCAGCAACAGACCTGCACATGTAAAACTAAGGGAATATGAACAACGCTATACACATAAATTTGACGATTTTTCTGAGTTGGATCAGTTCCTTAAATAGCACAAACTACCACAACTCACCAATGTGAAAGAGCTCATTTGCATAATCCTATAACTTTGAAAGAAATTGCGATTTTAATTTGTAAAACTCCAAAAAAAAGAAATATCCAGGCCCAGCTGGTTTCGCAGTAGAGTTATACCAGTGTTTTAATAATTAACATGAATTGCACACTTCCAGAAAATAGAAGAGGAGGAACCAATTCCCAACTCATTCTATGAGATCAGTGTTACTCTGATACCAAAGTCAATGACAATACAAAAAAAAGAAAACCGCAGACGAATCTCCCTCATGAATATAAATACAAAAATCTATCATAAAATATTACCAAATAGAATTCAGCAATACATAAAAAGAATTCTACATCTTGACCAAGTAGGGTTTTATTCCAGGGATGTAAAGCTGGTTCAGCATTCAGAAAATCACCATAATCCATCGTATTAGCCGGCTAAAGAAGAAAATGGTCATACCAACTGCTGCAGAGGAAGCATTTAACAGGACTCAACTCCTACTCGTGGTTTAACGCCCTTAGAAACCTGGGGACAGAGGGGATCTTACGTACTAATGATTCCATTTACATAACATTTTCAAAGCAACAAAATTGTGGAGGTGAACAACAGATCATTGCTTGGAGAAGGGGAGAGATCTTTGTGGGCATGGAACAGCTTCTTGTCTTGACTGGTGTGTAGTCACAGAAACCTGCATGTCATGAAGTGACCTAGGGTTGCACAGACACTGCGCCAATTCACTATGCTGGCTGTGATGTTACGTAAAATGGGCACTGGAGGAAACTGGGTTAAGGGTGCACTCAACTTCTCTGTACTAATTTTGCATATCTCTATAATCTATTTCACGATAAAGGGTTTGGTTTGGTTTGAAGTCATGGGCATTTTTATTGGGCTGCCTTAAATTTATCAGTTAAGTTTGGGAGAGTGAGATGGCCATTTTGTTGAGAATAAGGCATGAGATTGCGTTTGCTCAAGTCCACTGTTATGACTCAGTTTAAAGTTTTTCTCAAAAAGCCTTCTAAATTTTTTTAATTTTATTTTTTAATTTTTTTAATTTTATATTATTTGTACTTTTAGTTTCAGGTGTATAGCAAAGCAATTCGGTTATACATATACATACATAAATATTTTTTCTTTTCAGATTCTTTCCCAGTGTGTGTTATTACAAGAACTTGAATATAGTTCCCTGTGCTATACAGTAGGTCCTTGTTGTTTACCAAAAACAGACTCACGGACATAGAAAACAAATCATGGTTACCAAAGGGAAAAGGGCTGGGGAGGGTTAAATTAGGAGTTCGGGATTAACAGGTACACATTACTATATATTAATATTTCTTGTGAGGTTGTCATCTCTAAGAATTTCTCTTTTTGTTGCTGTTATTAAATGGAGGCTTTCTCGTCCACTGTATCCTAACTGGTTATTGCGTTAGTAAAATAAAGGCTGTTGGTCCTTGGACGGTAACTTAATATCCCGCTTCCTCGCTGATATCCTGAGCTAGTCTTCTTGCATAGGATTTTCCACATGTACCATCAAATTGTCTACAATGAAGATTCATTTCCAATTCTTCTCCTTCTAATTATTTTCCCTGACCTAGTTCCATCAGCTGACACTTCTGTACAATTTAAAGAGCCATGGAGTCCTGGAGGCTCCTTCTCCAGTGTCTGTTCTTGGCTTCAGTGGGGTGCCTCTGGCGTTTCCCATTAAGATGCTGGCTTTAAGACGGATGAACCATGGTTGATTTCCTGAAATAAATCCCTCTTGGTTGTGCTATGTATTTTTTCTTAACACTGATTCTGTTTGCTGATACTTGACTAATGATTTTTGCATTGGCACTTACAAAGATCACTTCGAGTGTTTTTATTTCTCCCCACTGCGAGATAATGGAGCCTGCTTAGAGAGACAGTGCTCTGTCCCATTAACCGCAAGCCAAACAGCCTTACATTTTAGACTTTCATGTCTAAGCCCCAAATAATATACAGAAGGTCACATAAGGAGTTTCGTTCTACATATTCATGAGAAAAATGTGGGTAAGTGAGGACTCGCCTGAGCTCCTGCGGGGCCTGTGCACGTGGGAAGGAAGGCAGGCATAAACCCCACACACGCTGATCAGCGTCGGTGCTGATAGCCTCCCTTTTGTCCGCTCGCTCTCTCTCACCGTCCCTAAAATGGTTGACATCATAAATGTGTCACAGGACCTAAAACTAAGAAGCTAATTGTAGCACTGGATTTTTTTTTTAATGTAGACAGTTTGGACTCAGAACTCAAAAAGGGAAGTTGTCAATCCCTCTAGTGGGTTTGCAGTGTTGTAGGGAAGGCAATTCCATGGGATTGACCCAGTGACCCCTAAAAACTCAGCAGAGTAGGGCTAGCAGCAGTTTTGTGTCAGAGAAAAGTTCAGTATCGATCAACTCGCTGACACAATCAGCAGTTTGGAGGAAATGAACCCACTGGGATTAGTTGGTCCCAGTAGGTGTTTTTTGAGACAAGCTGACTGGGGTCAAAGGCTGGAGGTCTGTCCCTCTTGCAGAGAAGAAAGCAGATTGCAAACACCAGGGTGAGGAATTTGTGCAAACTAGGGCCATATGTTTACTAGGGACTCTCTTAATTCTTAGGGTAAAATATTAAAAAGTGAAAATGACCTTTTTAATCAGCAGGAATTAGTGAGTCCCTCAAAGCTAGCATTAGGATACAAGAAACTGGACAGTCCAGGCCAGAGCCCACCATGGGCTGTTGCCCAATTCCAGCATCTGCCAAATACTTCACAGTCTTAAGAAGCCTCAGGCCAATCCCATGCGGGAGAAAGAACTGGGGAGCTGCCTTTCCCTGGGGGACGGCAGAGTCACCCACCTGCCTATTTACCCTCTCTCTAGGGACACGGTTCTCCAGTCCTAAAATTCAGTGCTCCTGCTCCGTGAACAGAGCCATAGACGCGAGCAGGGCTGAGGTGCCCACCCCCACGACTGGACAGGGGCCCAACCACATGAGGGGAAATGGAAGAGGAGAAACTCGGGGAAATGCATCCAAAGCTGTAATGCACCACCCTCAAGCTTCCCTGCAGCCCCTGCCCTCACCCATACCTCTCAGACATCACCTTTGTGACTGCCATTCATGTTTATTTTAACCTATTTTAACTCAAATAAATCTAGAGGGAAGGAAGATAAAAGCAATTTACCCTAAACCCTGGCCCTGGGGATCTGTTAATCTCTCTCTGATTAGGTCACAGTTACACCCTCAGGACATCTTTGGGGCTTATCTGAAGTCCATGGGGCGGTCACTTCTGTCCAAGGGAACATGCCCCTTCCTGCGATGGGCCCCACCCAGCTGAGTGTGTCCCTGCAGCACCTGTGGGACTCAGTGAGGAGGGACCTCAGGTGAGGAAGCTCCGCCGGGCAGCAGACTGGACTCCTGTTCAGCGCGGTGATCTGCTCCACAGAAGAGCGGGACGTGTGGTCTGAGAACCACCCTCTGAACGTCAGTAGCATCACTTCTTGCCTCGTCTTCCTTTCCTTGCAACATTTTATTCTGCTTTTCTCAGGGCTTCCAGGAATACAGACTAGAAACATTTAGGGGAAGTCCCGCACACTCAGCGCAGGGGGACTTACTATGGGCCCGACCCGGGTGTCTTAGCAGCAGTTCAGTAAGAGCAGCCTTTGATTTTCCCCGCATTCTCCCAGAGCAGCCAAGTTTTAGTTTGTCCTCCTCTTTGTGATAAACAGGCTTTGTTTCTCCCCGCCCATCATTCTGTGAGGCAGCAGTGGGACCGAGGGCTGGAGATCTGAGGGGCCTTGGTGGTCCCTGCTGCCCAGCTCCACCCTTGTGTCTGCAACACAGTTTCCTCATCTACAAAATGAGTAGGAGCTCTGTTTTCAGGTGTTGAGAAGGTAGAGATAAGGTGTGTGTGTGCATAAAGCATAGTAGATATTCTACTTAAAACCTTCCAAATTCCGAACAGAAGTGCCTCTGTTTCCCTTAGAAAAAACCTCAGCTCCTCACTGCGATCTGTGAGGCTGGACCACACGCTCCCTCCACTGCCCCCCAGGTACACGGGCCTCCTCTCCACACACGAAGCCTGTCCCACAGCTGCCGGCGCCCTCCAATGCAGGGCACCCCGTGCAGGCTCCGCGCTGCTCCCCGGTGCCCCCAGGCCTCATCTGACCCCATGCCCCTCCAGTCACTGCACGTCGTCTGAGGCGCTCTCATTTACATGTGTATGTACAGCGGCAGGAAGTGGGCTCTTGCTTCCCTCCCTCCCTAGGATCTTCCCAAGGCCCAGGTCTCTCCTCCCACTTTCCGGCCCAGCCAGTGGGCTCTGTGTGCGGGGAAGTCCCGCTCAGGCCCCACACACGTGACTCAGCTTCACCCCAACCCAGAGACAGCGACCCTTGTCGCTTCTGCTGACACAGCAGCTTTCCCCCAAGGAGGCAGAGCACAGCATCCGTTTTCGCCACGTCACCCTGGGGTGGGAGTGTGGTCTCTTGCCCTGGGGAGAGTTAAATGTGCTGGGGGCAGTGTGAATAATGAGACACAGCCAAGAGGAACATCTGTATTTAAAATTCCTCCCCTTCGTTCTCTTCCTCAAACGAATCAGTCCCCACTTCCTCATAATCCTTCTCCAGGGCAGCCAGGTCCTCCCTGGCCTCGGAGAACTCTCCTTCTTCCATTCCCTCTCCGACGTACCAGTGCACAAATGCCCGCTTGGCATACATGAGGTCGAACTTGTGGTCCAGGCGGGCCCAGGCCTCGGCAATGGCCGTGGTGTTGCTCAGCATGCACACGGCCCGCTGCACCTTGGCCAGGTCCCCTCCAGGCACCACCGTGGGGGGCTGGTAGTTGATGCCCACCTGAGGAACAGAGAAGCAGGGTGCGGGGAAGTCAGCAGATAACTCAAGACAGGGGCACCTGGGTTGCGAGGCAGGTGTGGGGATGGGCAGCAGGGCTGGATGTGGAACCGGGAAGTGGCGAGCAGGTGGGTGGAGAGAGGTGCATGAGGAAGAGAAAGTAAAAGCCGGTGTTCTGGGTCAGGAGACTTGAAGGGAAGGGAAGGGCTAGTGGGAGACTCAAGGTGACAAGCAAGAGCAGCGCACAGGGGTCCTGCAGGGGAGTGAGCCGTGCAAGGCAGATTCAAGTTACTATAAAGTACACTCCTTTCAGTGGCATCTCAAGTTCCTTTTAGTCATGCTGTCAATAAATTTAGGGCGTTTCTCTGCCAAGGGTGAAGGGCTGTTTAAAAGATCACGGAGATGTTCTCAAGCAATAAAGAAAAACAAGGCAAAAGTTTCCGGGGATGGTGTTAGTGTCTACCAAGCCCTTTGTCTCTTGGAAGAAAAGCAAGGACTCCAATCAAAGAAAGTCAGTTAGAACTCTTGCTGGACGAGACAACTCCCCAAGTTCCAGTAGCGCGGAGGGTCCTCCAAGCTAACCAGCCCAATCTGATGGTGGGTCTACTATCCTTGAAATCTCCCTTCTCCTCACACACCTTTCCCAAACCAGCTCCTTCTAGGAACTGCAGGATCCTGGAAGGAGCCTAAGATAACAGACCGTGATAACATTTGTGAGACACTGAGAACGACAGAGCCGGCCCAAAGATGGCTCCCTGCCCAGGCCACCAGGTCTCAACTGCCAATCTCTTAAATCCATAGCTTGCAAGTGCATGTCCTCTCTAGAGGTGGAGGAGCAGGTATGGCAGCAGGGTGGGGAGCCCATTCCATGAACTCACAGTGGTACATCACTGATTCCTCTTAGACAAAAGTGGTGGTGGAGGTGATGCTGGAACAGGGGCAGAGGGCCAGAATGAACATAAACTTGGCTGCAGCACGTATCTCGCTAGGTCAGCCAACTGTGCTGTCCTTTGAGCAGCAGTACCCCCGACACATGTCAGGTGGCGACACACACCCGGGGGAGGATGCTGGGGGGCAGCTCAACAGCACCCGCCCCCAGCACGGGCTTTTCTGAGAAGCACTGAAGGTTCTAGCATGGCCCGACCATCCTAGTCTCACCCCAGAGCCTTAGCGTGAAATAAAGGAGCAGAACACAGGCACCTCTTTCTGCTGATTTCTCCACCACCCTCACGTCTCATTCCTTCTATTTTTTCCCTGTTCATTTCCTACTAGCTTGTTTTATTGTTTGCTTCTATTTGAAAGAGAAAGAAAACAATCTGGGGGAAGATCTTGGCTGTTTTCACAAGAGCAAGCAGAAGTGCCATGTGGAAATGCACAGTCTGCGAGGAAGGGTCCTATATGGGGGGTGATAGCTCAGTGGTAGGGTTTATGCCTGGCCTGCACAAGGTCCTGGGTTCAGTCCCCAGGACCTCCATCCAAATAAATGAATAAACTTAATTACCTCCCCCCACCAAAAAAATAATGATAATAATACATAAGAAGAAGGGTCCTGTACACAGCTGGGAGCTGCGTGCAGGGAGAACACCCCCTCTGTCCGCAGAACGGCTCCGTCGAAGCCTCACAGGCAAACAGGTCAGCCGAGAGGTCGGCGTGGTGCCTCGTTTTTCTAGGTCCTCCGGGGAAAACTGAGACATGCTCATGCCTGTGTCTCCAGCAACTGGCACAACCACCTCTGGTGTTTGGAGAACCACTGAATTATTAAAGGCTCACCTGAGGGACTACCTGACATGAATGGTGGCAGTGGCCTTGACGGGAGGGACTCTGATGATAGATGGTGGAAACACAGGACAAAGTGGTCCAGCCAACACATGTGCAAAGAGCAGCCCAGCCAGGGTGACGCAGGGGTGTTCCCACATCCAGCAGTCCCTGGCCCTGGGAGCCAGGGTCCTCTCTGGCTGGTCCAAGCCCCGCCACTGACCTCAGTCACTGCCCTGCAGCAGGCTCACCCCTGGCTAATGGAAGATGTCAGGGCTTCACAGTCACGTGATAGCCATAAAATTTCTCACCCTCACTCTAAGTTGACTGATTACAAGGTGAATATTGAATTTTTCAGAATAAACTGTGGAGAGGAGCACGTCTTCTGTTAGAGGAGGAACTCTGGCAACGTGAACAGTTGGATCCACTCCATTCTCTGATCTGCTGTCAGATCACAGCTAACTCTCCCCACCCACCCTGTGCATCCCACTCACACACAAGTCTTTCCAGCCCAGGTCACTCCTCCCCGTAAGAGGAAAGCCCTTTTCTGCCTGACCTTTGAGATGCTTGCAGACCTTAGGACAGGAGCAGTGGGCAGCCTTCTCCCTGTTGAAATAGTGCCCCTCCCCTTCTTCCAATGACCCTCTCAAAGTACCTCCTTACCAAAAATAAGTGAATGAATGAACGATTGAAGTTAGCGTAACATTTGGCTCAAGCCCCTCTTCCCTCCTCATCCCGTAAAGCTTGAAGCTCCCACAGAATCGTGTATCAGTCCAAGACCCCGAGTTTGCACCTCTCTCTCCCCATCCTTGGTGCCCCTCTGCTTCTCTAGGTGTCTGTCTCCTCGGAACATCAGCTCTCACCTTGAAGCCTGTGGGACACCAGTCTACAAACTGGATGGTCCTCTTGGTCTTGATGGCGGCAATGGCGACGTTCACATCCTTGGGCACCACGTCCCCCCGGTAGAGCATGCAGCAGGCCATGTACTTGCCGTGGCGGGGGTCACACTTCACCATCTGGCTGTTGGGCTCGAAGCAGGAGCTGGTGATCTCGGCCACGGAAAGCTGCTCATGGTAGGCCTTCTCAGCAGAGATGATGGGTGCGTAGGTGACCAGGGGGAAGTGGATGCGGGGGTAGGGCACCAGGTTGGTCTGGAACTCAGTGAGGTCCACGTTGAGGGCCCCGTCGAAGCGCAGGGAGGCCGTGATGGAGGACACGATCTGGCTGATGAGGCGGTTGAGGTTGGTGTAGGTGGGCCGCTCGATGTCCAGGTTGCGCCGGCAGATGTCATAAATGGCCTCGTTGTCCACCATGAAGGCGCAGTCCGAGTGCTCCAGTGTGGTGTGCGTGGTCAGGATGGAGTTGTAGGGCTCGACCACGGCCGTGGAGACCTGGGGGGCTGGGTAGATAGCAAACTCCAGCTTGGACTTCTTGCCGTAGTCCAGGGAGAGGCGCTCCATGAGCAGAGATGTGAAGCCAGAGCCGGTGCCACCCCCGAAGCTGTGGAAGATGAGAAAACCCTGCAAGCCAGAGCAGGCATCTGTCTGGGAGAGGACACGAGACAAGTTTCTGAGACACCGCCCTGTGGGCAATGGCAGGCAACCCCTCTGTCCGCCCCACTCCATCCCTCAACATTTTCAAGTGGGTGAAATCAAAACAGCCTTGAAGTAGGGAAACACAAAGGAATTGCAGCAATCTTGGGAGAGATGGCTAAAACACGGGGCAGCAAACACGCACACACCTCTAGATCCATGAAGGTTCCCGCCCAGTGGCCTGGTTGGACCAGGCGTGAAGGTCCAGAACTACAGTGGACAATGCCTCTGCCCTGTGGCAACCCCAACTCCTTGCCCCGCTTCCCTGGCCCTCGTCATGTGATTGTGTGGGAGCTGCAGACCCACACATCCCAGCCCAACCTGGGAAGGTGACGCAGGGTACCAATTTCAGAAAGATAAACGGGATCAGAGAACCTGAGACCTGACGTCAACTCTGCTGGGTTTCCCAGTTGTAAAAACGTGAGCAAGTTACTGAGCTCTCCAGGCTTGTGTTTCCTCTTGGTTAAAGTGAGGACAATAAAAAAAATGCACCCCATAGTATACTATGATAATTAAATGAGATGGCCCAGTGTGCTGAGCAAGGATCTGCCAGTCAGTGAGTGCTCAACGGTAGCTCTCACCAGAGCTGGAGAGTCCATAAATCACACGACTTCCCCACTGAGTCTGTGATTGCTCAGTCCAGGGGCTCTGAACTCTGGTGGACCACAGACAGCTTTGAGGCCGATGACCCCTCAGAGCCCTGCTCTGAACAGAAAGGTGAACACATATGAACATTCATCATCCTTAGCGCCCAAGAACCCCTGACCACGTCCAACCTTTTCTGTTGCACAGAAACAGGGCTTAAGTAGACAAGTGACTCACCCTACAACTCAGCTTTCTAGTCAACCCTACAATCCAGTTCAGATCCTGACTCTTGTCACTTTCTTGGCCCTCAATTTCTTCAGTACAGTAAAGTACAAGGAAGAGTCCTCTTTTGCGTCATTATTAAGGGGACTAAGTGAAGGAACATATGTGCTGAAATGGATAAAGTCGTCTTCTTCTCTTCCAAGTTAAATGCTTTGTTAGCGTGTGCTTCCAACAAGCAAAAAGCTTCACCTTCCTCACACCTGGAATTTCCCCCAGATGCTACCCTAGAGCATCAGTAAGTGTCAACAGGGCACCAGTCTGGAGGGTAGTCCATGATGTCCAGGTAGAGGAAGGGGAAACCACCCCTGCAAATGCTTCTTACAGAACATAAGCAGAAATTCCCAAATCTTAGGAGTCTGTCCTGCAGCCGGGGATCAGGTGCCCACCCAGCCTGTTCAGAGGGGTGAGTCCAAGCATGTCCACTTTAGTTGCCTCACCAGCTCCCGGCCCCTGTAAACACATACCAGCTTCCGTATGCGGTCCAACACCAGGTCAATGCTCTCCTTGCCCACGGTGTAGTGGCCCCGGGCATAGTTGTTAGCTGCATCCTCTTTTCCTGTGATCAGCTGCTCTGGATGGAAGAGCTGGCGGTAGGTTCCTGCCCGAACCTCATCTACCGAGAGGGGGAACCATCACGTCTTGCTACCTAGTTCCCAGAGGAGAAGCCTCCCTCCCCCAGTAGAATGCCATATGACACCATTCTGGGTCTCCACCTCCCCGAGCCATTAAACTCCACCGACGGGAAACCAGACAGCCCCATTATACATCTGCGAGGCTAAGAGAATTCCAGGATAACACAGGCACTAACAGAGCCAGAAGCCCGTGACTCAAGCAGGCAATGCTGGCTGGACCTTAAAAAGCTGGCCAAACACCAAGGTTGATTGCCTCTTCCAAGCTGACCCTCAAGGTTTCCCTCTTGTTTTTCATTCATGCTGCAAAATTTACCCCAAATTTTAACCCAATTTCACTTGTATCAAAATGTTCTAGGGACACAGAGAAAGATTCAGAATGATGTGCCTGGCCCCTAGGCTTCCCCAGGAATTGTCCCAACCCTGACCTCTGCCTCAAGGTGGCAATAGCATATGTCAGGCATTAGAAATACTTCAGAACAACTTTGAAGCAAAGCTATGTTCCAGGTTCCAGAAGAGCCAGAGCCCAGGAGAGGCTGTCGGGGGTGCCCTGCTCACCTCCAAGGTCCACACAGAGCAGACATGTGGCAGACCAAGCCCCACTACATCCCCTCTCCTCTGCAGGGTTCCCCCAGGGAAATCACCTACATGTGCAGAGGCCTGGGAAGGTCACCTGCACTTTCTGTATTTGTACGAAGTGTATGAGGGGTGGAGGGCCGGGAGTCTATTGCCCCAGAAATCATTATTCCTGCACTGCAGACAGTGCCCAGACATCTCTGTGGATGAGTAGGCTTTGAAGCTGAGGAAATCCTGATGAAGAAGGAGGACTGGCCCAGGGAGACACTCGGTGTGCTGGGGGTTACAGGGAGAACAAGAATCATGCCCTGACACAAGTCAGGATTCCTGCTTCCTGTGGTCCAGGTGATGTTCATTCTGAACTACAGCAACCTCCAGCTGTAAGAGAACGTCTCGTGTGTGAGCTACTGCAAGGTCATACCAGGCCTGCGAGGACAGACTGCAGTTGTAGAATCGGAAACATATACTTTGGGAAACTGACTGTTGGGGGACTTTTTATAATTTCTGAAATTATTAGTATTTTTGACCCTTAGTATTTAGTGCACAATCTGGGCCATCTTGGTCTGTCTCAGCAGCCTTTAAGTCGAGAGCGTTAGGTTGGAGCTTTAAAGGGGAGCAGAGTGGGAACAGTGGGAACTCCAGGAGTCACCCCCTCCCACAGGCTGAGCCCCAGCTGCCACGGGCCAAGGCCTCCGTGGTCTAGAGCCGCGTCTTTGCAGGGTCCCCAGCCATACTCACCCACCACAGTGGGCTCCAGGTCGACCATGACAGCCCGGGGCACGTGCTTCCCATTGCCAGTCTCACTGAAGAAGGTGGTGAAGGAGTCGTCATCATGGACCTTGCTGGCCTGCGTGCCGAAGGTGCCATCGGCCTGGATGCCATGCTCCAAGCAGAAGAGCTCCCAGCAGGCATTGCCGATCTGAACCCCAGCTTGGCCCACGTGGACGGATATGCACTCCCGCTGTGGGGGGACAGCAGTCCAATTGGAGAACCCCAGACTGGCCACACCGCTGCCCCAGACCCCCCAGACCTTCACCTCTGAGGATTTGTGCCTACCTGGCACTTGACGGACAGGACACCCAACCCTCCAGCTGTGCCCTCCCACAACGAATCAAGACTGGTTCCGAAGAAGAACCACAGCTTTGCGGTCTGCTCTAAAGATTGTTTTCCAGGGTTAATCCTTTGTATCCAGAAAAGGGAGGGGCAGCTGCACAGATGAAACAGGGGCTAATTCCAAACCACGAGACTCCTGCACTGATTAAGCGGGTCAAAGGAAGAACCAATGAGAACAGCAGAAACTTCCCCCAAATCCACTGCCAGGCACGGCACAGTGCTCCCATTCCCGCAGCCGCCTGAGCCTCCTAGACACTCCACATCATGGAGCAGAGGAGCTCGCACAGGAGGGCTCTACTTTGGGAGTCATGGGTGTCATTAGTGTTCTGGTCACAAACTAGGAATAAGGATCATACCTCAGCAAGGCAGGGGTGGGAGGGGACTGTGTAGGCTCTTCCCAAACTCTGAATGACTGCAAAATTCCTTTGCAGCCACCGTAACCTGCTCCCTTGCCCACAGCAGGCCAAGTGCTAAATAAAGTTGACCTTTACAGTGTTCTTACCTCCGTGCTGCTCCGATGTGAAGCCACAATTACCTGACTGGTCCAAGTAAAGAAGCTGAGGATGGGGAGGGGTGTGTGTGATTGTGAGTATGAGTGTGTGTGAGAATGTCAGTGTGAGCGTGTGTCATGGTTTGGCTGCGACCATGGCCTCGCTGCTCCACCGCGCGCCGCTGGGGGAAGCAGTGGCCCCACTAGCGGGCTCTGTGCCTGGGATGGAGCCCAGTAGGAAAGCATGTGCCTGGTGTGTGGCTTCTATTCTTATCCGTGACCCGACCTGGCATTTTCCAGCTCCAGGAACCCAAGCCAGGGGCAGGGCCTCCAGAGACCGAGGCCGGGGCCTCCAGAGGCCGTGGCCAGCATGGGGTCCGGGGCTCCTGGAACCCTGGAAACTCTCTGGGCAAGGATGCCGGACAATTGCCCAGGGCAGCTCCTCAAAGGGTTGAGGGTGTCAGGACCTGCTGCCCCTAACTCGGCACCTCTCCACACCTGTCTCTGAGCCCTGCCCTCTGAGTGTCACCGCAGCCTCGCTGGGTATACAGCCAGCTGTGTGTCCATGAGCCTGGTGGCCGGGAAAGGGCTTCACTCACTCAGTCACCCACACCCCAGGTTCAGACCTTGCCTCTCAGTTTACCTACGGTGCTGCGTGACCCGGGCTGAGCTACGCAGCCTCCCTTCTCGTGAAGATAAGTTACCGTGACCACTTTGTTGAGGCTGTCTCTCTGTCTTTATGTATTTTCATTACTGTAGCTTTATTCCCCACCTGAACAGGCACACTTGGAAGTTAGAGACCTCAGGCTGCCATTCCTCTCACAGTGAAAGGACTTCATCTTAGGACTCGATTCAGGCCTAAGAAGGCAGGGTCCCCCGCCCAGGAGCCACCCCACAATCAGACCACATTTTCACATGCAGCCGTGGCTTCCTCCAAGGGTTGTGAGCTGAGGGGACGCTGGAGACGCCTGAAAGGAGAGGGGCTACATGTTGTCTTCTGGGTGACTCATCCCCTTGGCCCCAACCCTCAGCCCCAGAGCCTCACCCCCCACCCCACCCCAACCATCCTCCAGGCCTGTCTGTGGGGCCGCTGACACACTGGGCCTTCCTGTGAGGATGCAGGGCTATTCTGGGAAGATCAGAGGTCTGCATCTTCCTGAAAACCACCGGCCTAGTGCTATCGAAGTTTTCCTAGCCCTTTGACCTCACGTGACTCAGTATGCCCATCTCCACCAATGAAACCAGTGTCTCTGACACACACACACCCTTAGGAAGAGCTGCTTTCCCTGTTAAACTGATTCATAAGAGTAACTGGAGGTGTAAGATAGACCCTGCGGTAACTGACAGGTTCATAAGTGCTTCCAGGGGTAGCAACCCGTCAGGAGAAAAGGTGGGCCTCTCAGCACCATTCTCCTAATAGGACCCAGGGCCCCTGGAGAAACAGAGGATTCTAGGTCTGGGGCTGAGAACGCAGACGCCGGCACAGACAGGACAATGTCAGAGGGTCCCAGAAAGCAACTGGAAGAGGCTTCCACAGCCAAAGAAGGAACAACCTGAGGGTTGAGAAGAGGCATGGCAATACTGATGGAAGAGGGTGCATGTGTGAAACTCCACAAGCCCTCCTCTGGCCAACGGGCCTTGGCCATGACGGCTGCCTGCCTGGAGGCTCAACACAGAATGCGCGGCACACACTGGGGCTGATGGCCTTGGGGCCGCCCTTCGCCCAGAAAGGTCATCTGCCCGCCATGACCACGATGCTGTGTGAGCTCTGGCCTTCAGGACACTAGAGCTGGGCTGGCCCCATGGTCCCCAGACATGATTCCCACCCCACTGTTATATAGACAAAAAGGCTGAGGCTCAGAAAGGTAGAGGGACAGACTCGAAATTTCACAGAAACGCAGGGAAAGAGCCCGGACTGAAATCCAGGTCTTCCGCCCTCGGCCTGAGCCCTCTCCCGTCACCACCCAGCTGCTACCTCACTGGCACTCGAACTCCGGGCCCCTGGTGGGGCACACCTACACCCGGCAAGCCTGACAGTATAAAGCAAGGAAGCTCGCAGGGCAAGACTCCAAACAGCAGAAAGCGCAGAGAGAAAGAACACAGCTCACAGTGGGGCCTGGGAAAGTGGGCCTCCTCCCTGGAAGAACCAGCGCTCCATTCCACCAGGCGAGTGTGCACTGGGGTGGGGCGGGGCTGGGCGCGCTGGCCCAGCAGAGGACGTCATGCCCGGGGTCTGCGCCACACTCGTATCTCAGATTCCCTCTCCAGCTAGGGGGCCAGAGCCCGGGTTCTCTCTCACGCTATTCCTCTCAGTTCTATTTTGAAGCTGGGCTTGTAGGGCGCAGGCCAGCTTTCTGCTCCTGGGACCCTGTAGGGTAAAGGGGGTCCCCCAGGTGCTGTGGAGCCTCTCAGCCCAGGAGTCCAGGGGATGGAGATGAAGGAGACAGAGAGACTTAGTATAGGGGCTCCTTTCCTCAAGCAAAGTGTGACACCCCCTCTCAGAGTAGTGCCCGCTGCAACAAAGGTGGCCCGCTCTGTTGTTCCACAATTGTTTATCCTACTCCGGGCAAGAAGGCACTGAGAGGTCCTGGGCCAACACCTTCTACCCTCCAGGTCTCTCACTAAATGCCCACACAGCAGCACGGGGCCCCACAGCGTGCACCCTGTCCCCTTCCTCCCATCACTGCTTTATGCACAAGTCCCAGCTGCTTGTCCAGTCTTCTGACTCTCCCGCTGGAGAGAGAGAGTTCTGGGAAAGCAAGAAGCCCTGGCATCGAGCATAGGCTTGAATGCAGCAGGTGCTCCATAAGTACAAGGGTGATGGAACAGAACCCTGCCAGGCGGGGGCTTACAGTCTATCTGATGAGGGGGATAGTGGCCCGGGCCTCAGAGGCAGTGGGAGCTCAAAAGAGGAAAAACAACTTCTGGCTTGCTCTCCTGAAGGAAGAATATTTGCAGAGGTCTTGGAGAAGCTAGCCATGCCAACAGGCTGTAGGGGCATCTTAGTTGGATTTGGCAGCAGTGCAAACAAGAGGCGGGAAATTTAAGGCAGGTCTCACAACGTGCTGAATTTGAAATGCAGGCTCACGAGGTACAGAGCAGACGAGGCTTCTGGCCACCCCCAGCCACCCTCCACGCTCCACAGAACAGTCCTTTCATAACTCCACTGCAAGAGACTTTTCCTTATGTCGATCTTAGGTGATTTCTGTTTTAGGATTAATCGTTTCCTTTTTATTTGGTGTCAGAGGATCAGATCAGCTAATTGTGATCCTCGGCAGAAGGAGGCTTTGCAGTGGTAAACAGCGTTTTAAAGTATCACAAAACAGTAAAACTGGCATAGTATCTAGGAAGGGGGCTGACACAGGCCAGCAGTGCACCTCAGTGAGAACCTGGGACCTGTCCACAGATGCCGACCACCTGCATGTCAAACACCACATATTATTATACCCAGTTACTTCGAGTTGTCAGGCTGGGATAATACATCCCCTACACTGTAGGATCCAGGTAAGATGACAGGTAAAAAGTAGAGCCAGGGTTCCAGAGGAATAATTAAAGTAAGAATGTGATTAACAGAAGATTGAACTATCTCTGCTCAAAATCCTTCAATTAGAGCATAGTTGGGCTCACTTGGACGAAGAACAGATAGCAAGCTAGAAACAGCAGGAACAGAGTTGACCTGAATTAACACTAGTGAGTGAGAGGGCTCAGACCGCCGGCCCTGTAGGGGCAGCACAGACATCCTGTGGGGAGGGCAGGGGCTGGTCAGCAGATTCCCAGCACGAGACCCTTAGAGTCAAAAGGCCCTTGTGCTTTAGCTGAACTGGGGCCAAGTGCAGGAGCGGGGGGTGGGGGGTGTCCCCTGTTTCCCGTTCTCTTCCACAGCTCATTATCTGGGAGAAATTCTAACGGGAAGACATGGACAGGGAAGGTCAACCGCACAGGCTGCAGAGTAGGGTCAGTCCTGTAGTGCCTAAGGGAAAGTGGCAGTGGGTCCACTCTGCCCCCAAGGGCGCCACATCCTCCCACCCACCCCTGCGCTGGCCCTGTACTCACCAGCTCTTTCCTCCCCAAGAATTAAACTTTTCATCCTCCTCTCAAGGTCACTGGAGAGCCCCTCAAGAAGGACACTGGGCAGCAGCATTACCCCTCTGCTCTGCTCTGCTCTCCCCACCTGAGCCTGGACGCTTCCTACGGAAACTCACTGCCTAGGGTAGGGGCCCCTCCGCTACTCAGAGCATGTGCCCAACGACCTCTGATCCCTGGAGAGGGTGGTGCAGCGACCCCCTCTGAGGTGCTCTGAGGTCAGACAGGAGCCAGGGCTCTGCAGCGCTCAGCCAGGCCTGCCTACCACAAAGAAGCAGTGTCCATCTCGCTGGAGAATACTCTCCCCTCTAACTGCCCATTTTTGTAGGAAGACAGGCTCTTGGTTGCCATCTGCTGCCAATCCCCACCGGAACTCACTGGTGCCCCAGCCCAGAAGGAATGCAGTCAGGGAGGCTGGGCTTCAGATCCCCTCTCCTCCCCAGGAAACACAGACACTTGCTCTGAAGCCTGGGGTCACTGACACGGGCTTGGCTAGGTATTTTCAGAAACTTGCCTATTGGATGTACACCGAAGTTTGCTCAGAGGATTAAGAGCCAGGGCTCCCCTCGGAGAGTCACTATGGCTCTCAGGTCAGAACTAAAATACGCAAGAGATGGCACTTTGAAAATCATAAAGCACTAGCTATGTGCTGGATATTATAAATATTAAACATGAAACCTTGAGTACGCTGCCTAGGATTTGCTTCAAAATAGCAGGAGAGGGAAAGGGGACTAAATGAAGCAAGACTCTTTGTAAGTAGGTAATTGTTAGATTCTGATGAGGGACATACAGGGGTTCATTGTGCCATTCTCCTGTGTATATGTTTGGCGATCTCTGTGATAAAAAGGTTAAAATAGTAAAGCTAGGTGGAGCCTTGGAAATTTAAAGCAGAGCCCCTCTTCATTTTGTAGATGAGAAAAACCACTCCAGAGAGGTTAAGTGACTTTGTTGAAGTCACACAGCTAGCTGCAGAGCCAGGAGCCAGGGCTTCAGGCAGGAGTGGATTCCTCTGGCCACTGTCCCCAGTACCCCAAGGAGCCTGCTCTGGGAAGGGAGGGTGCTGGACAGACTCCAGCTAGACTCAGCAGAGCTGGGGCCAGAGCCAGGGGCCCTGGGCACTTTCCAGAGTGAGCAGAGACCAGGAGGAGAGAGGTTCTCACCTGGCCTGCTGGTCACTGACACCAGAGCAAGAGCGTCCAGAGAGCCTGACCTTGGCTTGTTAAAGTGCCCACTAGGCCCCCTTCCCCCACCCAACTTTTCCACACCCCCTTTCCTGAGGTCCAGACACCAGGGCTCTGGATGAGGAGATCTGAGTTTCCAGGTGTTCAGGGAAGTGGACTGGAGGCAAATTTTACCCACCCCAGGAGGCAGGGGGTGAAGAGGGGGATTCCAGAGGGTGGGACTGTGGAGTCTGGAGAGGTCTTCTCCAGCAAGTAAGATCCGTGTCTGCGAAGGAGACAGAGGCAGGAGGGGGAAGGGGGAGCCCCTAGATCAGGGCAGGAAACAAAACGAGAGATCGGAAGCCCCAACCCCACCCCGCCTTTTGGAGGGAGACTTTGGTGGGCCAAAGTCCTCTGGCTTTGACCGCTGGGAAAACGGGGCAGTCGAGTGGGGCCAGGGGCCTGAGAAGCCAAGCGCTCTCCAGCTGTAATTGCTCAAACCCAACTAGACGGCCGGCGGGGGGCGAGGTGGGGGGACGGGGAGAACGCGGCCCCGGGTGTGGGGGCTGTGACGCTCTAAGTCATATTTGGTTGTGTTTGGGAACCTGACTGCGCCCACTCCCCAGGGCCCCCAGCCCAGCCGATCCATCGGGAATTCCTGGGGGTCCCCTTTCCCCCTCGACTCTGGTGCCTGAGTTGCCACACGGTGATTCCTCAAAACCTCACCTCTTCTGCGCGGGCTTCCCACGTCCCCCTTGCCGTCCCCTCCCCTGGGTCCCTGTGTGGGGCGACTCGCCCCCTTCTCCGCTTTTTCTCTCCGATAAAGGACGCTGGTACCGGGTGTCCTCTGCCCAGGGTAGGAACCCCTGGTCCCTGACTGATAGCCCCACGAGACTTCGAGCTCTGCAGATCCAAAGCGATCTGTAAGCCCCCCGCCCCCCGCGGAGACGCGGCTCTGGGCTGGGCGC